AATCAAAGTGGCATCCAAGGTTACCAAACGCTGCTCTAAAGCCTTCTGTCCTGAGTCCAAACTGAAAACCTGAGGAGGCAATTACTGTGCCGAATGTTTCCCATGGCAACAGCAAGGTTAATAACCAGGGCTCAGACCGAGATGAGAGAAAGATGTTTTCTTTTGGACGAGAGAACTTCAAGGCCTTGTGCAATGGAAAATATTTTTAAAGGAAGCTGAAGTATGAGTATAAGCAAACTGATGGACCTGCACTGATGCACTAATAGACAAAAGCACAAAGTGTAGCTTTTATTTATTAATGGAAAAAACAAATTTTGTAGCACGTTTGTGCTGTTCTGAGAAAATACCAACTGTCCTTGTTCTTACCCATCTTTGTGAGTCTTTTTGGGCCTTATGAACAGATGACCCGCATTTCCTTGTCTTTGTGTCTCTTCCTTATTACACATGCATATCCTTCCTGGACATGCTGTTTAACCATCCTCGCCAGAGCTCTATTAATGTACAGCTGAATATACTTTACAAAGTGCAATCCCCACAGTGTGATTCAACATGTAAAAGCTATTTGAAAGCTGCTTTCATAATGTGAAAACAAGGGAACGGAGGTCTGGAGCAGCAAGCAGCTCTGACGTGTGAGAACAGCCCTGCTCTGTGTTAGGGTGGGCTTTAGGGCTGCCCCCTGCTTTGGTCATGTCTCTGCAGGGTTGCCAGTGATTGGCCAAGCATGTGGAGCGAGGTCTTGACAGGTGTTTGGAAGACGAGCACCTGCTTGGCCATGTGCTTACCCAGTGATCCGTTTACTAGAAGCTGTGGAAAATGTCAGGCTGGGTGAGAAGGAGCGGCAAGCACTTCAAGGATATCAAATCATTAGTTGATTCTGTTGAACACATGAAGTTCTGATTAAGCAATAAGAAGATTTTAGTGAAAAGTTGCAGGTTGTGTCCCAAAACACAAGAGCATATGTGGAATGACCTTATACATAAAGAAAGCTGGACATGTTGAAGCTGGAGAAATTGCAGGTCTAAAACAAATATTTCAATCAGCTGACTAACGTGACTGTATCTTTGGGAAACAGGACTTGACAAGAGAGATGCATCCTTAGGTGATCGTCTACTGTTGATATTTGTAAATCCCCTTTTAGAAATGCTTTCAACTTATAAGCAAACTTAACGACTTAAACCTACAATTTTTTAGACCTAAAGCAACTGTAATTTTTGACAGTGAGGGTCAATAACCACCCTCTACATACAAAACTTCTATTTAAACTTGAGTCACTTTATTTTCCGCACCCCAACAAATTAAGTGACTGAGTTTTTTAAAAATAAGTGGAATTTACTGAACAAATGTAATCTTTTGTAAAGCTCTTAAAATACACTTCTATTACTTTTATGGTGTGAAAACAACAGTTTTCCATGTTTCCTAAAAAAAGTAAAAAAAAAAAAATATATAAAATTATTATTGTAAAATAAAATCTGCATTCCATCATAATTACATGACCTACAATAATACATTCTGCTTAACTCACACATAAATGAAACATATTGAATGTGCTTTGCTTTTTTGACACAACCCAATACCAATCACCTCTGGAGATGGACTCATTTATTGTATATATGGTAGCATTTTAGGAATAATCTGCGCTGTCTTATCAAAGTATGTTATTTTTGACATGTTTAAAATACTCTTCTAACAAAGTGAAAACAAATTTTTTTGTATTTTTTCAAAATTTTGTAGCAGTAGAGTGCTAGTGCTAATAAGATCCCAAGATATCTAAAAAGACACAAGATCGGTCCTTTCCCTCCTCTTATGGGCCTTTTTATGTCTGAATAATTTATAGGTCTATGTTACGTGGTTTAAAGGATAAGCTAAGTAGAAACTTGATAAAGGTTGTAGAAATATTTCACAAGTCCTCTTTAAAGGATTAGCTCATATTTTAGATCAGGGGTCACCAACTCCAGTCCTCGAGGGCTACCATCCTGCAACTTTTAGATTCACCTCTGCTCCAAAATGTCTGAATTCCCTCACCAGCATTCATTCCTCTCTGCAATAGGCTGGAAACGAGCAGTTTATTTGATCCAGGTGTGTTTGAGCAGAGACGTATCTAAAAGTTACAGGATGGTAGCCCTCGAGGACTGGAGTTGGTGACCCCTGTTTTAGATCATTGAATGCAGTATTAAAAGAAATAAGAATGGACCTAAAACTGTTCAGGACAACTTTGTGAACAGATTTACCCTCGACTGCTATGGTTTGGTAGGGACTCGCTTAAACTGCTGCTAACGACACCTCCCCAAATGGCTTTTGCCGATGGGTGTGGTGTGCTGCAGCCTGGCCAGACTTGTTGTGAAAGCAGAGCAGATCTGCCCATCTTGACCAATGTGACCAACATATTCCCATAATGAGCAGGTTGAAACCTAAATTTGCAGGTTGAGACCAGATCTTTGACTCACTGGTGGTGAAAGTGCATAGTTTGACTTCAGTAAACACAGGCCTTTCAGGACCCTAACTAAAGAGGGCCGTTTTAGTAAACAGGAAATGAACCAGCAAGGCGTTTTCTTAGAATGAGAAGAATGCCTCTGCTTTGTACCACACCAAACAGTAATGCATCTGTGGTACAGCAATGGTCATTCATTATCCAGAGGGCTTCTCTCTCTTGCGGTCCTCTGGGCATTGTGGACACTTATGTGGGTGTATTTTTTTTTCTCTGAACTTCCTTATTTTCTATCACAGCTGTCAAACAGCAGCATATTTTCCTTGCGCACTATGCATATTAACATTGTTTATTGTGCCCTGAAAATACACAGCTCTCAAAAAAACCCTCATGCACCGGAATGAATGGAGGCGAAGGGAGCAGTTTGAGACTTTGGCACCTTCCAGCCATAATGAGCCAGGGAATTATGCAGGAGTTTAACGGAGCCAAGGAACAGGTTTTAGGAAATGCAGCTCATGCTGAGGTTGTGGTGAGCAGAGCTGGGTTAGCCGCATTGTCTGCTCAAACCTAAACGCACTGTCACATCGCTTGTCAGAGGATGCAGCAGCTGTAGAGGCGCCCCCTCCCCCTCAACTTCCACACATATCATACACACATGCACCACATATACAGTTTCTGTTTCACACACATACACTCACCCACACACGCACACATTTTCAACTTTGCTGGGTGATGAGGACCAGAAACAGAGAGTGAGGTCTCATTAGAGCTTGCAGATTTCCCCTTCCCTGGCTCGCGCTCCGACCCCCGCATCCTCAGGAGTTGGTGACCTTCCTGTAGAGACGAGGCCTCCAAGACGGCGCGCAGACAGGGCAGGCCCCTGCCGTGGACCTGTGGCCGCCTGATAGAGGAGTCTTGAGAGCGGCACATAAATCATGTTTTTGATGTACACTTCCTCGATATCACAAGCTGTCATATGCTGTCAACGAGTCTTGTTAACGCTGCTATTCAGAGCTGTAATGAGGAGCAGAGACGAGTCTGTACGAAGGGGAGCATGGCAACATAACATCAGGGATATTTGTTGACTAGCTCCACATGTTTCTCACTCCCCAGAAGCCTCTTTGTGATGTTACCACTTTGTGCACTCACAAACTCTTTAAATTTGATGTTAATTCTGTAAATCTGTTCTACGAAAATTGATTTTGTCATAGGATTAACGTTCCTGATATACAAGTTATACACAGTTCAGATAAGAGTGGCCCAATTGTAGCTGAAACGCAATAAGTCATCTACAATGGGCTGATTGTAGCTGACACAATGCAGGTTCTTAATGCCTTGCAAAAGTACTACTATTACTTGAACTAATTAAAATTTTGACAACTTTTAGCCACAAACTTTAGCATTACATTGCATTTTATTGTGACAAACCAAAACAAAGTACCGTGGTGCATAATCATGAAGTGAAATAAAAAGTACATATTCAGATGCTGCTAAATGTGCCGCTTTTAAACCAACTGCCTTCAGAGTTTTCTTTAACACTCAATCCATCATTTCAAAATGGAAAGATTGGCGTTAGTAGTCATTAAATCTAACTTTTTGGGCACCCTGAATACACCATTCCCACAGAAAAGTGTTGGTAGCAGCATCGTGATGAGGAGATGCAGTTTTTTTCAGTAGAAATTAGGCAATGGGTGGTAGTTAAAGAAAAACAGACAAGAGGGTGTTCAGGACAATCCTGGAAAAAAACTCTGCAGCTCTACAATTGGATGCATTAGATCAAAGTATTTTCATGCGTTGGAATAGTGCAGCCTAAGTATTGCCCTGAATCCAATTAGAAGGCTGTTACATAACATACAAATTTCAGAACAGCTCCCCATTTCATCTGAGTTAGATTGAGCTTTTTTGCAAAAGTATGCAGAACACATTTTCTCTTTAATTGTGAAAAACAAATATAACATGCGCTAAGGTTTGTGTTTTCAGTCTTTAAGTGGTGTAATTATTTAATTATGGACATGTGTAAATCCCTAGAGGTATACAACATTTGTAAAGAAATGCAGTATTGCTGTCGTAGTGGCCTTTGTTCTTCTGCACATAAAAAGCCTTTGACCAGAACACTGAGACTGAAGCATTGGACAGCACAGAAGTGTCAGCTGTGGTTTTACAAGTGAGAATTGCCAACTTTAACTTGCATTGAGCGAAAAAACAAAAATAATTTGTGGGTCAGATGTCTTAAGCGCATCAGACAACATTCTTCGTTTCTCATGTGATTTAAAATTTAAGTCTGCATTTTACTGCACTCCCAACCTGGCTCAATAATGCTGTTAAAGAAGGCATCTGTGAGAGTCACACCATCTGTCGCACATCTTGTGCTTCATTATTCCTTCTGTATGTTTCTGCCTACAGAATTTATTTCCACTCAGATTAGACGCCTCTTTAACGATACCAAGGCACAAGAAGGCCCATATTTTTTTATGCACCGCACTGTAACTGAGAAATAATAGACAAAAAAAGAGAGAAAATCACAACAAAAGCATCTTGCATACTATGTCTGTTCAACTGTGCAATTTCATTTCAGAAATTGAGAAACAAAGGCCAAAATGACTGTGCTAGTCCCGATGCTGATGACTGTTTCGGGCACAGCCCCCTCATGGATGACCATTTCGGCAAACTAAGCGAAGACAGTGATTTAATGTACAAGCGCTGTGGTGTAAGTACTTCTTTTTGTCTCCTGCTATTTTGTGTTGATTTTTTGTCTTTATGTTGATGTTCACCACAGGCGCTAAACAAGAAAGAACACAGAGGTTGTGATAGCCCGGACCCCGATGCCTCATATGTCCTCACTCCTCACACAGAAGAAAAGTATAAAAAAATTAATGAGGAGTTTGATAATATGATGAGAAATCATAAAATCGTAAGTACTGTAAATGCAACGTTCTTGCTTGGCTTTGTGGCACAAAAGGATTTTTTTCCTTTTTATTTATTTAACTTTTTGTTGCTCTCTAGTTAACTTGTGTCAAAACTACACTTCCTTAAGACTAATACCCTTTTATGGGGTTGCTTTTTTTCCCTTCAGTTGATTTATTTTGCAGCTGATGTTTTGGCACACCCTTACCAGATTGCATTTCATTAACAGATGAAATGTTGCATGTTTCTGCTAAACAGATTACAGCCTATTATCAAGGGGATGGTTACTATAAATTTGAGAGAGCACTAACTATTTTAACACATAACAACGTGCTATAAATACTCCAATAATTAATATGTATTCCAAGTACTCCTGTTATAATATCAATGGCATGCTAGTTAAAAATTCAAATCAAGATTGCAAAATAACATTAAGCAGTAAAATTCCTGAGTGATTTTCTTAAAAGAGGCATGGATTCATAAAAAAAATAAATAAATAAATATTAGGACTGGGCAAGAACATATTCTTTCTTACTAAACGACCATTTATTTTATCTTATTTAAAGACTCTTACTTTGCCATTAACAAACTAATGTCAGCACCCACCCGGCTCACTGGATGACACTGCGATGAAATGCACCTGTTGTTTTCCACTCGAGGCTTTGCAAAGTCAGCACTTCGGAAGACGATGCAAATGAATTGAGATTCTTGTACACTATAGTCTCCTCTGCAGCTGGTTTCTGTTGTGGTAAAAGAAAAAACAAAAAACATTCTGAAGAGAGAGGTTTTTACTCTTTAAAAGGTAAGGTTACTTCAGAAGTGCTGATTGCTGCAATGCCACAGTAGTCACAGTATGCATGACTTTGGTTTTGTATTTTCTCTTTTGTTTGTGTTGTTTGTTTTTGTGTGTGTGTGTGTGTGTGTGTATGTCATGGACCTATGAGAGTTCATCTGTATTTAAAAGATCATGATTGTTTTTTATGTATTTATCCAGGCACAGGTACAAAAATGAGAATATCATGAAAATGTTATTTTATTGTAGTATTTATATATATTTTAAAAATAAATTTAGACAGAGTAATATGTTGCACCTATTTATTTCTAGGTATTTTGATGATTAAGGCTTGAAATGTGAAGAATTTAGAATATGACACATATCCAATAGGAAATATGTTATTTTATTATGTTATTGATTACACGTTAATTGTTTTGACAGTTGTCCAGTTGACATTTATTGACACAAAATGTTATTTGTTAAAAATGTTGAATGACCTGCATTTGTGAAGTGCTTTATCAAATCAGAGGACTCCAAAGCACTTTACACTAAAATCAGTCATTCACCATTCAGACACACTAATGTAGTTCCAGCAAAGTACAGAATATAACAGGTTATAACAGGTTCTGCATCTTTTTTGTCACTAGCCATTTTATAATTGTCAAAGAAACTTTTTTTTTGTTTTTCTTTAGCTGTTAATCAAAACAAAAAAACCACACACACAGACATTTGAAATATATTACTTTTGTAATAAATCTTTAAAAGTTTGATGTTTTGTACTAAATATTTGAAGCAAATTAACTTTTGAATGATAACTCCAGTTTGTCGAGCTTCTTCTTTGTACCTTATTATTGATGTTTAGCAGAAGATTGTAAAGGTTTTAATGGAGCACATTTACTTTAGTCACTTTTGGGAAGGTTTCTGATCTTTGTAAATGTATTAGCTTTTTAAATCCCTCTCTTTGCAGGAACTGTCTGTTGATGTTGCCATGACAACTGACAGTCAACCACACATCAGAACTTGGATTTGGTATGTGCTGTGTGTAAATATTTATCTGTGTGTCTCCTGCTCCAGCCCACGGCGTTGCCTCAGCAGAACTTCTCCATGCATGTGGCGGTGCCCGTGTCCAATCCTAACGCCATGTACCAGGCGGGAGGGAATCTGGGCAGCCAGGCCCTGGCAGCAGCCACAGCTTCGCTGAATGAGAGCGGGATGCTGTCCCCTCCGCAGGCCTCCCTGCACAGGAATGTCGTCTCCGGTGGAGGATCTCAGAGACCCACCAGTGCAGGAAGTGCAGGTTAGTAAATAAGAAATAAAAAAAATATATATATATTTCTTCAGTGATGAATCAAGTTCCAATAGACGTTTTCAATTTTTGGTTTTCACTTTCAATACTCACTCTGATAAAATGCTTTCTTAATTTAGAAGCATAAATACTGAAAGCCTGGAGAAAAAGTGAATATGATTCTCTGCCGTACTTCTGATTTCTTAATTCCCAAATTGTGTTATGAATAACATATGCTGTGTTAATTAGTGGGCTCTAACTATTTGTTAGCTGTAGCTGCATGGAAAATACTCTTGTTTTTTTATTGTTTTGTTTTGTTTTTTCCAGATGTTCTCATGTAGATCTCATTTTTATAGACAGACAGACAGACAGACAGACAGACAGACAGACAGACAGACAGACAGACAGACAGACAGACAGACAGACAGACAGACAGACAGACAGACAGATAGATAGATAGATAGATAGATAGATAGATAGATAGATAGATAGATAGATAGATAGATAGATAATTAGGAAGCCTGGGTTCTTCTCAGAGCTAAATGTTCATCCATCTTGTTAACTAACAATATCACATTGCCCATTATGATGTATTGAAGAGAAGATTTGAACATCTCTCTTGCTCTGGATCCACAACGCCTCCTTTTCAACATCTCTGGGATTCCTGGTTTCAGTTGTGATATTATTGGAGCTTTTCCCATGTTAATCAGCTCCCCCTTGTTGTAAATTACCTTGTTGCTACGGTTACGCATCATAACAAAATAGCAAAGTATGAAAACCAAAACTGCCAAAAATCTCTCCCTTTCTATATAGATGTCTATATAGATGTCTATATATATATATATATATATATATATATATATATATATATATATATATATATATTTCAGCTTGGTGGAAAAATGATGTCAGATGAACTACTTGTATAACTTGTCTGACTCAGTCAATCAAAATGGCTCTCATGAGGTTTTTCTGCACTGCGCACAGAGTAAGTGCACTCAACAAGGTGTGAAACATCTCAATGAGCTTTAACCACATATTAGAATTGGCTAGCAACCCCCATGTACTAAATGGCCGTTCTTCAGAACATTTCCTGTTTGTCTTTTGCTTCTTTCACCATTTTGCTGTTCTCTTCTCTTTTTGCGTCACACTGACGTTTCAGATGCTTTAAAAATACATCTAATGAGATGTATTTTTGGTATATTTGGTATAAATCCATATTAGTTGCTCCTGGAGGTCTAAGCTATTGGCTAGTCTGAGTGAGGGAAAAAGCAAAGCTGGTTTGTATTGGCTTAAAGCAATTCGACTAAAAAACATCACATTTGTATTGGACTGTTATTTTCATTGAACTCTATCGTTATTTATACAAGCAAGTGAATTGGGAGGACATGCACCACCAATGTTGTTCCTAGTTGAAACACAAGCTGAATGGGTGAAGAATTTCCAATGAAGATAAAAACCGAAATATAAAAAATAAAGCAGGATAAGAACTAGTGTTTGAACAGCATTCAGTTAGAGCTCTGTAATATGTTGGCTTTTTGAAAAAGCTTTACTTTTATTACAGAGTTAGTCTGACAGAAAATGCTCTATCTATTCTACACAAGAAGATAAGATTCTTCAGTTCTTCAGTTCCTCTATGAACAATTGGCAGTATAAATAACTACCTAATTCAAGCATGACAACAGTTTAAATGTTTGTAAAACAGTGTTTGACTAGACCGCTATGACATATTAGAGATTTGGGTTCTTATAACGTAATAGCAATCCACATTAGTCTCTGCCCCTCCTTGATGGCCCATTAGATTTAGTCCTCAGGAATAACTAATCTGTATGTGTCTTCACTTACAATGCGTAATCATGTACGCATTGTAAGTGAAGACACTTACAATGCGTACAATGTTATGTACTACATCTAAGATATCAATTACCTGGAGTCATTTAACATAATCTATTCCTTTTAAAACTGATATAAAATCTGCTTTCCAAGAGTGCACTTAAATATTTGACAAAGGTCTTGTCAAAACTAAAATGCTACGCTCATCAATTCAGCTCCTATAGGCATGTAAACTCAAACAACATGCTGATGTAGCTCTCCTTAACCATATATTTTAAAATCCCCCCCTGCCAAGAAGACACAGACTCCACACTTTCATGTGCTGTGAAGATGAGCTCTGCTTGACATTCTTACGTCTGGTCTGGCATCTCCATCACATGCTCTGCTCGCTCGCAGAAAGGATGCAGATGGTTAATCATATCCACTCTGTGCATCTCATTAGGTGGCATGCTGGATACCACAGACCTTTCAGTGCCAAGTGGTGCGGGCTCCAGCCCAGCGGGTAAGTCCTCCTGGAGAGATTCATTAGCTCTCTGTTGCTCTGCCCAATAGGCCTCCTGCTTAGCACACTGGCTGGGTAGATGCATTTTATTTGAGATTGCTTCAAAACCCTTGTCACCATTTCTGATGGATCATCCATTAGCCAAATAAAATTTTCATAGCATGCAAAACAAAACAAAAAATGTTAAGAGAATGAATAAAATTCACTTTATTTTTGTTCCTTTGCTAACAAGTTTTGCTAAAAAGGTGCGGCAATTAGTTGTCTTCTGACATTGCATGGAGACCTCTGTTAACAGGTGCATCTGCTTCCCCCGGAGGCCCCTATAAGGCTGTAGAAGGTGGCTAAGATGCCTAGAGCAGCATAACCCTGCAGCTATTCAGGCCATGTCATCCCACTAAGTCCTTAGTACACAATGACCGGACAGCCTGTCATGGCTGAAATGTGTTCTGTGAGTTGTTGAGGCAGGTGCAGTTTAACTCTTTCCTTATGACTCAGCAGAATTGCTGGTGAAACACAACATATCCTCATAGAACAGCATGACATTCGGTAAGAATAGTTTGACACGGACGTCATCCGTTTGGAGCTATTACATTGGGCCAATGGCTTCAAAGAGTAAATTTGATCAAAAGACGGTGTGATCGTTTTAGGTTTTGATTCCGTATCGGGACCAAGACCTTGTCCCTCAGGAGGGGTGGGGGGGGAGGAGGGGTGTTGTCGTCAGCATTTGGCAAAGTGCAAACATGTTGCAGCTGTTGTTTGTACCATGTTTGCAGAGGAGCCGAGGCCACAAGCAGAACAAACCGCACCGGCCCCCATGTCAGATGACCGTTCCTGACATACTTCTGATTTTTTACGAGTCACAGTCATGAGCACAGCGTTTCAAAGGGGACAGATGGAAGACAAATTGTGTGATATTTCTTTTCTACTCAGACGGTGTCACAACTGTCAGAAGACAATGCTCAGGAAGATTTTTTTTTTTTTTTATTTCCAAGCACTTCTTGTTCAGTAATTACTGCTTTAATTGCTGGATTGTTTGCTAGGTGTTCAAGTGTTCTTTCTCACATGTACTGTGTACTGTGAGCATTATTGGCCACATTCACTGGCAAACAATTTTCTGCTACTGAATTTTCTGAAATAAGCCATCTGTTGTTCTTGTCTGTGGCAGAGATAATGGCTCATCAGCACCTTTAAAAACACAACAACTTTTCTTTGAAGTTGATTTCAAGCTATACTCTATACAGCGGCATGCACGCCAGTTTCTGTTCCTCACTATGTGCTTTCTGCCTGCAACTTGTACACACACAGTTAACCTCAAGTGCAGGTCCCCATCTGGTCTGAATGTTTAGGTGGAGACTGAAGATTTAACAGAGCCTGCAATGCACCTTTAAGCTGAACATATTATCTGATCTGGAAGAAGTACAAGCTTTTGAAATATACGTACAAAATACGTGTATCTGCAGAGTAGGTTTAATGCATTTAATTAATCCCACTTATTCTGAGTGTTTTACACATACGAGTTAATGTGAAGTGCTTCACTTATAATTTTAAATTGTTCTGAAAGTCAAATTAATATTGATTTAACTGCACTTATACTTTTAAGGCAGCTTTTGAACTTTTGTTTCTACATTAAAATACTTCACCATATATGATTCAACACTGGCGAATGGAGTAGTGCAAGAGCAGGGTGGGGTCTGTGTGATGTTGCCTTTATTTTAGGAAAGTAATTTTCTTCTGTAGTGGGTTTTGATTTATCCACCTATGATTAGTTGGATAAGTAGCATGTATTCAACCTGATGAGTGATGCAACTTTCTTTTTTTTTTCCCCCAGAATTATTCCTCTGAGATACAATGAAAGATCTGTGCATGGCTTATGTTAGTTGAAAGCTGTTTTTTGTTGTCCTTTATTGGCTTCCATTATTTCTTCTCATTGACAGAAACACACGTGGGTTGCTGGGCACAATAACTCACTGTGTTTTCTTTCCTTGATCTTGAAAATAAAAACCGAAGGCTTCATTTGTAAACACAGGGCCTTATGTAATACCCTCCCTCCCCCACCACCACCTTCTCTTTTTTTCCATACCATGTTAATAATTCAGAACAATGATCAGAAACCAAACTGCTTTCAGTGTTGACAGGTTTCAGTGGCAGAGGACTTAAGGCCGGTGAAATCTGAATAACTAAGATTGAGGGCAGACGCTGGAAGCAAGCTGCGTCTTAACTTGTGGTTGGTTCCGATGGCTCTTGGCTCTGAAATAACTTTGTAGTTTAGCTGTTTAAGACGTGTTACCTGTCTTGCGTTTGCTTGAATATAATCGTCTTACTCCTTATCAGGCATCTCAGGGCACATTCCACAGATAACATGGTCTAGTTGGAAACTTCAAGCCTAAATCAGTCTGTAAAAACACAGCAGAATGTTTGTGTTTGTTTTTTAATAAATTGGAAGACGACCGTGTGATAAACTGTCCTTGGGTTGTGATGTCAGTGCAGACAAACATCTAAAATGACTAAGATAATAATTGATCCTGGCAATATATCCTAGTAATAATACAATAACAAAAACAACAGCCATTGTATTCATCCTGTCATTTTGGTTTTGGAGATGAACAACTCACATCATTCAAGCACAAAATGAAAACAACCGAAACACCTCAGACATATCAAGCAGACAGAGAACTTCTTGTGGGTATTTTGTACATCAGATCCTTTGTGTCTATTGGTTTATAGGCTGGAGTCTCATCAAAGCTTGCATGTGGGAATTTGTTGGTTGACTTTTTACTGTTCATGTGCAGTTTTGTTGTATAAAACGTTGAATAGCAGTACTATAATTATGTTGGTGGTTATTACAAGTCAAAACAATAAATTGACATGAGGTTTTTCTTCAGATTATTAAAAGTTAATGATAGTTGCTTTACCTGGATAGTTGTTTCCTCTGCTTATCTGCACAATAAAGATGTTCCGGTCGGACGTAACCTGCTTGACCTTGACCCATGTTTTCTCATGTAATTTTGTAGCAAAGTAAAATCTTTGAAACTGGAAGAAAAAACACAGCAGCTATACAACTTGGTTGACATGCTTGTTTGTCTTTTTGTGACGTACCTTGTAAATCTTTTATGATTTATATATTGTTATATATTTAAAGTTACATGGCCTTGCAAAAGTATTTATACATCATAAATACTTGCATGGTTCACTACCAAATATTATCATGTAACTGTGGAAGGGCATTCCCTTCCACAGGACATGCAGTTTTTAAAATGTTTTCCAAATAAAACTGCAAAAAGTATAGAGTGTATTTGCATGTAGCCTCTTGACTCAAATCTCAGAACAACTGCCAATGTTTTAGGGTATCACTTTGTCCATGTAGTGACTGACATTTCTTATTTGCAAACAAACTTTGACTTGCAGTCCTTTCCTTGTTGAAAAACAACATCCCCACAGCATGATGCTACCACCATGTAGTGCTTGAATGGTGTGTTCAGGTTAATGTGCAATTTTCTTCCATGCATGACGTTTTGCTTTTGACTGACAAGACTTCTTCTGTTTTTTTTTTTTTTTTTGTTTTGTTTTTTCCCATCATGGGTTTTCTGACAGAGTTTATTGCAGTGGATTTTAATTGGACCAGAATTAAGAGGCTGAATATAAATTTACACCAGTTTTCAGATTTTTATATTAAAAACATTTTACAGCTATGCACTACTTAGTGTAAGTCTGTCATTTAAAATCACAGTAAAACACCCAGAAGTGGTTGTACAGTTGTATTCCCCAACTATGTGGAGCAATTTGAATGGTTTGAATAATTTTGCAATGCACTGTAAAAAGAGCCTTGAATAACCTGTCCTACTGAGCATGAATCATTTATAATATGGGGGGTAATGTTACAAATCAGAACAGCAACGTGGTTTCCAGAGCTAAAACAAATAACCCAGTAATGACGGGGATGGTGGCTCCCTCCTCCTGTAAGTCGAAATGTCTGTTGTGAAAACAGCCTATTTGTCATCCCTGTTGTCCTGTTTTCTCTCAAAAAATAACTTCATGTTTTGTGTGCAGTGCAGCCTTCTGCCGGAGTCGAACACCAGCTCCCTAGTTGTTATCAGATTGGTCTTTACGTGCCAAATTGCCACATTGCCTCCCATTCCTTTACATGAAATCCTATTTGCACTAACTTCTCATTCCCACAAAATGACATCCTGGCTGTTTTTAATCAGGCTTGCTATTTTTGGAGCCTTGGACATTTACCCTGCTAATTCTGTAAACACTGTTTTCTTGCAGCGGCAGCCAAGTCTTGTGTGTGATCAAAGCCAGAGCTGATGGCGATAGCTGCTTGTACACACTGTTGATTCAGCTGTGAGATACTATTGTAGGCTTCATAACTGTTTATTTGGCCATGAATTGTTGCTCTCCTTATCTGCAGTCAGCGGGGGCCATTGTTCCATTATGTATTTTACGCCCGAGCCTCTTTGTCGTGTACACACTTTGTGTTTCTGTCCGCTGAAGACAATGGACAAGTCTGCAACTTGTTGAAGTGTTAATGATCTGTCGACGTTTTGCAAGATAATGTGATTTCTGCTTTTTTGTTCTCATCATTTTCAGAAATAAAACCACATTTCTTTGGTTGCGAAGACACATTTCACTCAGACATGCATTAAAAGCACAATGCCTTTAAAATCCAAGTGCACTTGAAATATGACTTCTGCTTTGTTTCAGTTTTCCCAGCAGCAGCTGGATGCCCGGTTTTTATTAGAGAACTGCAGACTTTGTTCAGAGGAGTCATTTAGTATTCTGCACTTGAATAACAAAATTAAATTGTAGGTTTGCAAAACAGGAACAAGATTATTATTATTTTTTTTTTCATAAGACGTGCTAAAACATGTCAACAGTTTAAACTAAGCAGATGCAGACGTTTCACAGCATTGCTACAATTTGACACATTTGGACAGTGAGTCCTTGTAACAGGGAAACTCAAAGTCACTTTCTTGTTTCAGACAGTTTTGTTAAATGTGTTGTGGTCTGTAAAGATGCACAGTATGAGGTGAAACAGAATTCTTTAGAACTGAAACTCGAAAAAAAAGAAAAAATTCTCAACTAGTATTTGTTTCTACCCAATGATGAGATTCTTCAATTTTAGGAGTTTAGTATTTGTGCAACAGAAAATGGTGTGAATATTTTGTTTTGCATTTAAAATATAATAAGGGAAGTGACTAATGACTACGATCACCAAGGTGTGAATATTAAGACAAAAGTCTTGCACTTTTTCTGTTGTTTGCACGACAAAACCACACAGCAGAATATTTGTTCAACTGTTAGAGACCCAGTTGTGTCTCTTTAGTGGTCACAGTACATTTGCCAGTGAACTGCGCTTCATCCCCAAGATGCAAAGACTTGCCTTTGATGTAATCATTCACAATAAAAAATGAAAGGCTCATCAATTTTGAAATGGACATTTTATTTTTGTAAACGCGCAGGATAATTATCCGAGTCGATTAAAACTTCCCAGAGGGTTGGAAACACTTAACGCCGCATGCTGCACGCGAGCTGCGGAACAAGACGGCGTGAGAGGTTTCTCATATGGCCGGGAGTGTTGTCAGTCACAGCCCTCTGGTTTGATGATGCGTTTCTGTTGCCATGTGTCTCTGCAGGGAACGGCTTCGTTAACCCCAGGGGCTCGCCGAGCCTCCTCAGCACGCCCAGCGGCAACGGCCTGGGTAAAGTCATGCCTACCAAGTCTCCACCGCCTCCTGGAGGGAACATGGGAATGGGGAGCCGCAAGCCAGACCTGAGGGTTGTTATCCCTCCATCGAGCAAAGGGATGATGCCCCCACTGGTGAGTAAAGAGCACACCGCCGCGCACCAGTTTCATCCGCCCGAGGAACTGAGAGACTGCATTCAAACTTTCATAGCAGAAGCATGTACAGAATTTCCCTGCACATGTCTTTGATGTTATCATCGCAGCACATCATGGTTTGCAAGTGAGGTTATCACCTCATTTAGGACTTTGCTTATCTGCATTAAACTTGCTACAACAACGTTCTTTATGAAATCAGCTTTTTGCACTTTTTTCACCTTCCTGTAAGATTCCTTCAGCCTTATGTCGTAAACATGTCATAACCCCTTAGAAATGAACTCTAGGTTCATACAGGGCTTTGCAAAGGTATTCATGGGCAAACACTAAGTGCTGCGTAATTGTGAAGTGGAAGGAAAATGATTCATACTTTTCAAAACATTTACAGTGAAAGTTTCAAAATGGGTGGCATGCATTTGTATTCAGCTTCCCGGAGTCTGTTACCTTTAAATAAAGGCACAATTGGCTTCAGAAGCCACACTTGTTTATAATATAATCTCTGAATCAATCCAGCTTTTCTGTAAAGATTTATTAATAAACATTAATTAACCAAATGCACAATAAAGACCAAGAAACAAACCAGGTCAACAATAAAGTTGTGGGGAAGTTAAAACCATAGAATAATTATTAAAACAATATCAGTGGATATTTTAATATGTGCACATTTCAAGCAGCACTGTCTAATTTATTATTAAAAAATTGAACATATTTGAGATGACTGCAAACCTTGTAAGACATGGCCGTCCTCCTAAATTGACCAGCCAGGTGACAGATAGCAGCATTGTTCAGAAAAATTCTGGAGGAGCTGCATAGATCCACAGCTCTGGTGTGAGAATCTGTTGACATAAATACATATCCTCTGAGCACCCAACCAATTTTGTAATACACTGTTTGTGGCAGATTTAAAAACTTTAAGCACATCATCCTGATAGTAAAATTTTGTAGTGGCAGAATTCTGTTGTCTTCTTAACAAAAGACAAGGAAGCTAATCAGAATTAATAAAAAGACGGTGGGGGATAAAAAAAAAAATAAAATAAAAAAAAGGGCAATTCTGGAAGAAAGAACTTCCAGCAGTACAAAGACCTTAGCCTGACAGTCACAGCCATAATGTAATGGTCTAAATAAGAGCGCATTCGCCCTCGTAACAGTTCCAACTGTAATTGCGACGAACGCTGGTTCTACGAATGGTATGAGTAGTTTTCAAAGGTACTGTTAAGTAGAATAGAGGGGTGAAGTGTTATCTAAAAGCTGACATGTTGCAAGTGCTTCAGTAACGGAGAACTGTTCCTGCGAAGGAACATTCTTGCACCTCGGATGCATCAAGAGCAGACAGGACAAACTGTTTGAGATCTCAAACAGGTTCAGTCTGGAGGTTGCTTCAGTCTTGCCTGAGCTGTAGAGGCGGTGGAAGGTGGCTGCCGTGGCAGGTCTGCAGACAGCCTGTCATTAGGCCATAATGGTATTAAATTAATCACATCTCAGTGTGACAGAGTGTAGATGAAGACTTAATCAGGGGCCCAGGGTGTGAGCCAGATAATATCTTGTCGCCCTTGTCGTGTCTTCCCACAGCTATTGATTGAGGATGAGTATTAGGAGCCCTGGCCTGCTCACAGTGTGTCCCACAGCTAAGGAAAGATGGAAGATGGGTTTCTTGTTTCTCCTTTCAGGCTCAGGGAGAAGTCAGGGTGAACAGGAAAAAAAAAATAAAACAACTATCTGTAGTTTATAATGATTGTGAGTTGATGTGAGGGAAAAGTTTTAGTTTGTATCCTATATCAGAATAAGTTATTTCTTATTCTGCTTGAAGGTTTTAAGGCACAGCTGTTCATAAATGCTCATAAAAACGTAAGATTTTGCATTGGTGGCAGAACTCATCAGCAGTTTTACTTTTACTATAAAATCTTGACAGCTATCACCTCTCCCCTCTCCTGATCACTCTGCTCCTTTTCCGTAACTCTCTTCTTTTCCTTCTGTCGAGGGCAGTCGGAAGAGGAGGAAATGGATTTGGTGAGTTTGACAAATGCCTGGGCAAATGGCTGAAATGTTAACACGCTTCGAAGTAATCACATGGCGAACTGAAGGCGGTGTTCAAAGAGGAGACATTTTGCCTTTAAAAAAAAAAAAAATGTAAAAGACAACAGCTTTTGTCACTGCATGCATTAAGTTTGTCCTGTGAAGAAGACTGCCTTGGCCTGTTAAATTGGCTCCTCTGTTCCAAACATGTGAATATTAGTCACCAGGAGTTTCAGTGTGCAGGAGTGTGTGATAGAAAGAGGAGAACTAATGCTAATCCTTTTCACACTGCTATATTACAGTCGCAGTTTGATGTTTAACAATTGAAGAGCAATGAGAAAAACATAAATCGTATATTCTTTTTCCGAGGGAGAGAAAATTACATCATCCGAAATGAAATCACTCTCTGAGATACTTGGGGTTTGGTGAAGTCATCTGGCCGGATAGTGTTGGAACAATTCAAGGAAGCCATCAACTTTATGATGCAATCCGGGTTCAAACGCAACCGTTGGCAGCTGCGCATATGTTTGTTATATTACACACGGAGGGTTTGTCATAGCATTGTTTTAAAAGCTGCAGCGTGTCTGCTTTTGATTATTAGGCCGTGTGTGCATTTTGTAGCTCGCAGCAAAGCTCACTGCATGACCGCACTGAGCTGTGTAGGTGTGTTTGTGTGGATGCATGCCAGCCACTACACTGAAAAACCACCGCAGCTCCTCTGTGCGTCACTCTGGGAATTGAAATGTGTCATTTGCGTTATCCTCTTGCAACATCTCATTCGGGTGTTATGTGAGTGTAGAAGCGATCTGTTGTCTTGCGCTGACTTTTCATGCTCTGAATGCTTATTTGATTGGACTTAGAGTGAATCTTGAGAGTTTTCTCTATCCCAATTCACTATTTACACGTTTGACATATTACAGGGAAAAAAAAGACTATAATAAGGAAAGGTAGATTTTACGGGGGATTTGTCATTGTGATTTATTTAGTGAATACATTTGCACATGTGCTTTTCAATCTAAACTTTTAGATTTTACAGGAACATTTCAATTTTAAGAATAATACAAGGTAAGTTATTTCAGTAATTCAATTTCAAAAGGTTCATTACACTGACTGATATAGCTGAGGCTATTATTTCTAGTAAAGCTGACAGCCAACAGAGTGCTGTATCCAGTAATACTAATGGAAAGTTTAGGGGAAGGAAAAATGTGGTAGAAAACATTCAAATGCAATGGAGCCTTGAAAATGTTCTGACGTAAAGCCTCTTTAGTAGTTTGGGGGAGATTTACAGAGTGTGTGCTGCACCTGGAGGCATAATTTCAGAAGTTAATGCATACGGAAGTATTTGGGGCTTTGACTGCAACAGTCATTTCACTTGTGTTAAACCACCACAGAATCAGAGTCAACATCAGAATTGTTGTTTTTTTTTTACCTGAGCCAAAGAAAAATAAAAGGACTTGGCTGTTGGTTGGTAAACCAAGTCATCTTTTCGGGTGAAAGTAAATATAACATTTCATTTTGAAATCAAGGTCCCAGAGTTTGGCATATCATTTGAGTGACACAGAGTCCACATTTTCATAGTCAGTGAATATTTTGGGAGTCATGTCATCTACTGGTGTGTTTTATAAATTCAAGAGTGAATGCAGGAACTTTTGGAGCACTTCATGCTTCCACCTGCTGATTAGCTTTCTGGAGATGCTGATTTGGTTCTCCAGCAGGACTTGGCATCTGTCCACATACTGCCAGAAGTTCTGATAACTTGGTGAGTTTTCATTGTGTCGTTGTGTTTGAATAGCCAGCAAAATGACCTGACTTGAATCGAAGTCTCATTATCCTTTTTATAACAATCAAAAGGACAATGAGAGACCAAAACTGTAGAGTAGCTGAAGCTATTGCTAAAACTACCTGTGCTTCCTTAACATGTCACGTGGAACACAGGCTGCTTCCATACCACACTGCTTTAATCCAGTAATTTATGCAAAAGGAGCCCTAACCAAATACTGTGTCCACATGCAGTCCCTCACCTTACATAAACATACTGCGCAGTAGGGTGAAATTTCTGTTTTTACTGCTCTTACGTAATATCATAATTTTCTGTGAATCTTATTTTTGGAATTTGTTAACTGTGACCTTTAATCATCAAAATAAAAAAAAAAACAAACACTTAAAATACTGTATGTCTTTTTGTGTGAGTTGAATTTATACAATTCAGACTGTTCACTTTATAAAGTTAATCACTAGATTAAATTGAATTTTATGTTATAATTTACTGAGATGGACATCTGGTGATTATGACTTGGGGTTTTTAACTGTACAATTTCAAATACTGTTATATATTTTTGCTAACTTGCACAGCTTCACTGCCACCTTGTGGTGGATAATGTCCGGTGTAAAATTAAGGGGAAAAAAAAAAAAAAAGAATATTTTCAAGTACTTTTTAATTTCTGCGATGAGAGTATACAGTGGACTAGTATATTTGCTGAATTTATTTCCTCCATCTTGCTTTTGTGTCCTACAGAACACCCAGAGGATAAGCAGTTCCCAGTCCACCCAGCCTCTTGCCACTCCTGTTGTGTCTGTTACCACCCCCAGCTTGCCCCCACAGGGCTTGGTCTACTCAGGCATGCCCACCGCCTACAATCCTGCTGGTGAGTCTGCACCTTCTGCCCTCATCCCTACACCGAAAGCAGCCCCCTCAGCTGGGACCGCTTGTGGTTCACGTTCCTTGTTCCTGCTATTTTCTTGCTAGTGCACAGTTGTGAAGGTGAAATGTGAGTTAGTTCTCAGTTTGTGAGTGTGTGACTGCTTTTGTTTTAACAGAGTACTCGCTGAGCAGTGCAGATATCTCCTCCCTGCAGGGCTTCAGCTCTCCCGGCCTCTCTCTGGGCTCCATGTCTGCATGGCAACAGCATCAACTAGGCCAGGCAGCTCTTAATTCTTTGGTGTAAGTAACACACTTGCAAACAAAGGCACGCTCTACAGACACCCTCGCATAAAAGCAACACCCACGGTCCTCTGTGATATCATTCTGAATCATTCACTTACATATTCCTGTCTTTTAGCACTGTTTTTTTATTTTTTTGTTTTTCACTTTTGTTGTAAACTGAACATGAGATGTTCCTCTTGTCTCTGCTGCAGTGGTGGAAGTCACCTACCTCAGGGTTCCAACTTATCCATTAGCACCAGCCAGAGCATAAACATCAAGTCTGAGCCCATTTCCCCGCCCCGCGAGCGGGTCACCCCATCCGGGTTCCCCCCACAGCAGCCCCAGCAAGGCTCCAGCCGGCAGGAAGTCCTGGGACGCTCGCCCGCCGACAGCCTCAGCTCGTCCTGCAGCTCATATGACGGCAGCGACCGCGAGGACCACCGGGCGGACTTCCATTCCCCGCTTGGACTCGGAAGACCCCCTGCCGGCTCTGAGGACAGGGAGAGCCCGTCAGTCAAGCGCTTGCGCATGGACTCATGGGTGACATAAGGAGCTCTGATCCGGTCTGCAGTCACCAGCCAGACAGAGAGAGAGCGAAAGGGAGGGATTAGACATGGGGATAAAAGACAGAGCGAGGGTCCTTAGAGCTGTCAACATTATTCTATTATTCAACTCCACTTCGATTTGTAATTCTGGGATGTAACGTTGGAAGATGTCAGGGCATATTTAAGTCAATTCTAAAACTGATACAGGAAGGTTAAATAATCTAAATACATTTTGGGCACTGGCAGGTGGTATCAGGTACTTGGTGCAGTTCAGAAGGCGTCTGCAGATGAGAGAAAATTGTTAAGCGATAAGCGGTAGAATATTGTAGCCACTGGTCTAGTCAGACACTTACATGTAGTTGCTGTTTTGCTGTCGTGCTCGCAAGTTCGCAAACAATCCCAGAAAATTGTGTTGCTTTCAGGCTAAGGACTCTCTAATTACATAGGATGTTCACGTCAAGAAGTATGTCCAAATACAGCGGTGCAATCACACAAGTTTGGTCTAAAAGGGGGGCCTCTCTAAATTTTTTAAATCCATATGATCTTTTGACACAGAGCACATCATGGCGAGGTCTTTCAAGACTCTTTAATAAGCTAAAACAACTTTAAAACAACAACATGGGAGGTAAAATAACATCAGAATTTATTGCAATAATGATAATTCATTTTATAATTTAAAAGAGGAAGGTGTATAGATATACAGTTAAGATAATGCAAACCTGTCCAGTTGAGCTGGTTAGTAAGCCAATGTGTTCACATTTGAGCAACAGTTCATTAGTTAAATAAGCCAAAGCTTGGGTTTTTGTGTTGTACAGTTGCTGTAATCTCTCTACAGTTTGCTCAAATACTGCCTGTCTTGTTTTTTTTTTTGTTTTTTTTTTCTCATCATACTCTGTATTTTTCATCGTACTTTGTTGCGGTGTGAAAATCACAAAAAGCTGATTCTTGAATCCGAAATCAAAAAGCCATGGGCGTTTGCTGTTCTATTTGTACAATGTCAAAATATGAGCCAAGCGTTTTGTCTTTTTTTTCGTTGTTGTTGTTGTTGTGTAAATAGCAACTTTAATATATATATATTACCAGGGTGGTGAGTACACCGTTTTCAAGAAAAGTATATTTTTGTGGTTTACAGCTGAGTTTACAGGAGTGGACCTTTAAGAAAAAAAAAAGAAGTCACTGGTCCATATTTCAAGGTTTTGTTCAGTCATTTCTGCATAAACTCTGACAAATTTTTGCTTATAGATTATTGGTTTTGTCTTGTTTGCCCTGAATACACTCTATGACGAATTAAGTAAGATCAAACTTTTCTTCTTTCTTTTTTTTCTTTTTTGAAGGATGATCAAAAGGCTGGGGGAAATAGGGTTTCTTCTTACCTATTGTGTCTAACACCAGGTGCTGAAGTTACTGCCACAATTCAAACCCGCAGTTTTAGCTCACACAACAGAGAATATTCTATTGTTGTTGCTTCTAACTCAACTGAATGAAAACCATCTCTGAGGCCATTTGGCTCATCCTGCCACTGGCTTTTGGAATTTAACTCAACAAATTTAAACACAGAAGAGCTGCTGGTGTAATAATCATATATGCGGGCCCACATGTGGTTGTAAATACCCGTAATAACCCAATTGGCTGAAGAAATCCTATCACAAGCTTATCCCCATTTAGTGACAGTGCTGTAACCTTGTAGTAGGAACAATAGGAGCCAGAAATTTGCAAAGAAATTGAAAGTTGCTTTGGCATACAGCCTGTGTTATTACACTGTAACAATGACTGAAAAAAAAAAAAAAAAAAAAAAAAAACAGGGTTGTGGCGGCTTTAATTCTCCATTTCAAAAGGAATAACCCATTCATCAGATAACAGCACACTGACTGACTTCTATATTTCCTGCTGAGAGGCACACATTTGTATGAGAATTTTTCTGTACAAGACGGATTTCTCTGTGCATTCTCCATGACCTGTCTTGTGTTTGTTAGTAACCTTGGGCATCCTTCACCCCCCTTGCCCCCCAACCTCCCCACAGTTTTACACCATTGCAGATCTATGCAGATTTAACCCCACTTCACATGAAATATAAATGCTATGATGTCATTACTAAACATATTCAGTCCACAAGCTGTCAGGGGAAAGAGTGTCAGACTGTTAGCCTCTTATTCTGAAGTGCCACAGCTGGAAGTTACTGGACTACAATTTTATTATCATCAATCTCGTTTGGGCCATCTCCTCATATTCATTTTCCTGTAAGAAGTATTCATACAGCTTGAACGTTTTCAAACTGTGTCTCGTTGCAGCCACCAGTCTTAATGAATTTTATTGGGATTGTGCATGACACAGCACAGTACTTATGAAATGCAAGATATATATATATATATATATATATATATATATATATATATATATATATATTTTTTTTTTTAACAAACAAAAATTTGGAAAGTGTGGCATGTGTTTTCTGCCTCTAGCGACAACTACAACCACACATTTTTGGGGTTATGTAATAAACCTTTATCCCAATGTTATTTACCAAACACCTCAACCTGAGTCAGATTAGATAGACAGACTTCAAGAAACATTGATCCCTTTTCTTGGTATCCTAAAGTAGCCTGGATATATACATGTCTTTGGTTTTCCTGCTATTTTTCAACTATCTTATGATAATGGGTGGGGAGCTAAAAACTTTAATTTTTGGTCTCGCTTTCATACAACAATTGCCTTTTTTGGCACTCTTTTTTTGCAAGATCAGATTTGTAGTGTGCTCTTGAAGCAGCCATACCAGAGTGGCTGTTTCTCTGATTAATACTCTCCTCCATTGCACCCAGACAAACTCAAAAAGCTGACCTCTGAAGAAAAAGAAGCGAATACAAATTGAGGCCACACTTTATACTGTTTAACTTGTAAAAATTACACAAAATCCCAATAAAATCCACTGCAGTTTGTGGTTGTAATGTGACAAACTTTGAAAAAGTTCAACTGACTGCTTTTGCGAGACACTTTATGACACATAAATATACACCATAGTGTTTAATTACCCTTTTTGTGATCCAGTTTAACACAGCAAAGGAAAATAGCAATAATAAATGACTTCAACAGAAATCAGCCTGTCTTGGCAGCACCGCCTCATAGTTGAGCACATTTTTTAGCACTTGATGGCATATCAGGGAATTTTGTAGTTGCTCTACCAATATGCACAGTTAGGAAATGCCTTATTCCAAAGAGAAATTGCACCACATTTGTTCTCACTCCTGTACGGAAAAGACAATGCAGACATCATCTGGGCGGGAGCAGATCCCGCCCCTCTTCACTGCAAACTCACACAAGATATTGCATGGTGAATGCACGGTGATACAATTCGCTCTGTTCGTCCTCGTCCAAATTGTGCATAACTGATGAATGTGAAAGGAAAGGGTAATCGATGAACCTCTGGAGAGGACTTTCTTCACTTTGCTGTGCAAGAGCACACCGCTTCGCTTCATGGCTTTTATAAACAGAACTAAGTGTTTGGTAAGTGTCTGTAGTTAATAGTTCACGTAACTAAAGGAGCTGTTTTCGGTTTGAGTGCTCAGACCGTTTGGCGGCACAAGCTGGACTTTGTTGCCAATAATAAAATTATTTGTTTTAAAATTGAAATAGATTTTAAGTTAATCTGCATTTTTGTTTTCGCTTGAATGTGTTATTTTATTTTCAACATACAATAATTATTCAAGTGAACTTTTTATTGAACAATTAAGATACTATGCTAGATGTTGTTGTACAAAATTTGTATTCTACACAAAAAAGTGCAAATATTGGCTTTTCATGTGTAATTTTTTTTTCTCTCTCTTATTCTGTATAAAATGAAGTAAACAACTCTTTCATAGAATCTGTTCTTCTGTGAAGTCCCAAACAGTATAAACTGTCAACTTTATTAAACACCTCAGTGTATGCTCAGTCTGAACTCTGTCTGCTCATCTTTGTGTACTTGGTTAATGCTGCATTTTCAAAAGTTTAGTCAAAAGACTGTAAGCTTAAAAATGGCCACATTGCAACATGTCTGCAATACAAATAAAATGAGCTTTGGAATAAAGATTAGTTAACAAAATAATAATAGTAATAATAAGTTAATGGATCACTTAAGTGTAATGTAATACATTTACTTTTCGTGACATCCAAACTATTCCTCAAATTGAATACTCAAAGACAGCAGCAGTTTTAAGTTACATAGGACTTTCTCATAATGACCTGCAATATAAAGGTTTTCTGTAGATGAAACGACAAAAACATAGAAAACCATACAGTAGCCTTTAATGGTAAGATTTGGTATGTTAAATTTTTGCAGACATCTATGTATTTCCGCAAAGTTACCAGAAGGCGGCGCTGTTGTACAATTAAATGTATACGCAGTAGGTCGCTGGCTTCCTGGTTGGGTCACGTAGGTTAGAAAGGAGTTTTTATGCTTGTTTTATTATCTCTTGGACATATTTTTAAGGAACAGTGGTTTGATTCAATTGCAAGGCAATTTAAAAATACTTAGGAATGTAAAGGATTTTCCAATACCTAAAAACGGGCAAAAAGGGAAACAAATTCAAAACTGAAAGTAAGGAAGAAACTTAAGTTCAGTGATACTGTACTCAATGTTGCACTTAAGATAAACTAGTTAAACAAATGGAATTATGTTTTTCCAAATATGTCACTTTTAAGCAAGTTACATAAGAATTATGACATACATTCTAATCTGGTTAAGATCAAATATGCTGGAAATAATTAAATGAGTTTAAGTTGGCATATCTTACAAATCCTTCCATGAAAACCTGGTCTGAACACATGTACTTGGACATGTCATGGCACAAACAGCTTGGGTGTATCAAAATTGCATTCCACATCTGGGAGGTCCTTTTGTCATGCATGCTACACACCTTGCTAACTGTCACGTCTTGCAGGAATACTGGAAGTAAAATATTCCTGAGTCATTGTTGCACTGAGAAATTTTACTTGTGTTTTTCCAGTAGTGACGATTAAAAGAAGATATTTACTATGGAAAAGAACAATTGCTGCAAAGCAGATCACTTACAGATGATTCACCACAACATATAAAAAGAATAATCTGCAGGTTTTTAGTATGTAGGCATGAATTCCTATCATTTTATATCATGTTGTAAAAGTGTTTATGTCGCCATTCACATTTCTTTTAAATTTTGCATACATTTCTATATTTATGCTCATGGGGAAAATAGTCAACTTTTAGGTCAGGGGTTAAATTTGAATGGGAAATTAGAGTCAGATGTTTCAGAATAGTAAAAATAACTATCAAATGTGGGTGTCCAGGTTTTTTCCATAAAGAACAAGGATATAAAACAGCCCAGGGTACTATTTTTAATCTCAGTTTTTTTCCTTCCTTGTTAAATAAAGGTAACAAACAACATAGATTTTTGAGGAATAGTTCAAAATTGGGTTTTCTGAGAGTATTAAGGGAATATAGGACTTCTACAGATGCACAAATCCTATGTTTGAAGTATGTGCTTAGAAACACTCATAAAAGAGAGAAAAACAATCAAGATTTTTGTGTTTTCATTCCCATTATACCAATCATCAGTTATACAAGAGTCGTTGAAAGGCCAACTACTTGATTGAAGCTAAAATCGGCTTTCTTCCAAATGTCTTGAAAATGAAATGGATCTTACATCCATTGAAATTGTCCGCAAGCTGACATTTATTTTTTGATTGCACCTTATTCAGATAAAAGTATAAATTGGTATTTAAAACTTTTGTTTACCAACAGATAACATTTTGAAGAGAAAACTGATTTATCAGAAAAAAACACTTATTTTCAATGTGTTAATTAACTTTACTATCTAATAATTGCAAATAATTGATTTTTCTATTGATTTCTTATTGGAGAAATCAATTTTGGCAATGGATTTCTCACTGCCAAAAGTATTTCTACCACAGTATTGAAAATATTTCAGACATTTCACAGACATACTTGCACATACCTATACCTATAGACAACTTAGAATAATCAGTTCATCTAAGTGATGTTTATAGAATGTGGGAGAAAGTCATATTACCCACAGAAAACACATGACAGGGAAAACATGCAATCTCCATGCGGAAAGGACTGCAAATTATGCCACCACTTTAAAATCTGCCTTTTTCATATTTCAGATGACTATAGCGATCTTATTGTTAAACTGGGTTTCTGTACACCAGAACCTGAAGGAAACTTTAATCTTGAAGGATTTTTTTTCATCCTCCTCCCAGACTAGTTGCTTGTTATGGCAACTAATAAAACTGAGATTGTAGCAGTTTTGCAAGTTTTGCGAACCAGTCGAGTTTCCCTCTGAAAAAGTTAAAGCTAATGTCACACGACTGACTGAAAATAGGACCAAGTGTACCACCTAGCGGTGACTTGCAGTTTACACATTAAATTAGATTAAAAATGATACAACACAAGGTCTAACATATAAACATTTTTTTTTTTTTGCTAAACATTTTTAGATATGCTTTGAAACAATGCTTTAATTTCAGGTAATATTCCATAATAATAATAATAATAATAATAATAATAATAATAATAAAATAAAATAAAATAAAAAACGCAAAATGTGGAGTCGAAGTCAAAGCTACCACATGTAAGCTGATATAAATATACATACCAGCTAAACATTAGTAGCATTTTTAATACATAGTCAATCTGTAATCACAAAGGAGATTGGACCTGATCTCGTTCTTCGCGTACAGGACGGAAAATATAAGGTCAAACTCCCCGGGCCACCTGAAAGGTGTTGCCACAAAAACGGAACTGTTACGTCAGAAACCTGAGCAACAGGTAGTTAGCTTGCAGGTGATGCTGGGACGCGATAGTGTTTGACTG